CGAGGACGGGAACAACAACTTTCTTTTCTTTTCCTGAACTTTGATACAGTCCTTTAGAATTCAACTCCAAAAACATTTGCCAACATTTGACGAAGTAAACGAGATGGAATAAGCGCGATAAAGTTTGAAGCGGTGCGAATTCACTTTTTAAGTGACGTTTTTGTAGCCGTCGCTGTCGTTGTTGCTTAAGCTCCCTAATGTTGGATCCGTTTGCACAGCGTGCACAGCTCTTCCTTCACCGGCGAAAAATGTCTGCGCATGCTCTACTAAAAATGACACGTGATCTATTTCGCGCAATGTCATTGGCTCTGAGGCAAAAATGCCGGTTGAGATGAAAAAAATAATGGCTGTTTTTTTGACAGTGATAGCGTTGTGGTTTTCTTGCCATAGTAAGAGATCAAAAAACATTTTGGTGAAAGTTTTGAGTGGAATGTTTTCTCTACAAAATGTAGCGCCTTGGAAACGGCGGACAAACCCATTGGTGGGTATTTGTCGGAGAAATTGGCTTTGCAATCGCCGGCATGGGTGCGAAAGGCATGCCAAAAAGGTGGGTAATTTTGACTTTCTATGCTTACTGTTAGTTTCGTGCACATCGGTACAACAGGAAATTGTAAAGAAGTGAAAGAAAAATTATTGGGCTTTGTTATGTATATAAATTAGCTTGTACCGCTGTGCACGGAAGCGACAGTTTTGTTAAATGTGTATCCCGTTTTTGTGTCAAAATTCGACTTTGACTGTGAATCTAACATTCGATAACATTCGACTGTTGATCGAAGAGCGTGTTACAATGCTATCCAAAATGTTTTTGTTGTTTAGATCATGTTTCTTATCACGGATTCAACAAAAAAAAGTAGAGGGACAGACATTTTTGGGCTTTGTTTTATTAATATGACTTTGCGTGTACTTTGTTGCTGGAAAAACTATATTTAGATGCTTAATCTCTGCATGTTTACAATGTTTATGGCAGAAAAATACGCTTACGCTTGGTTCAACTTAATCTCGTGTCACTCGGTACAAAAGGAAATTATAAAGAAGGTAAAGAAATATTCTTAGCCATTGTCTTTCTGTGTAAATTGTCTTGTGGCTAGTGGATCGAAAGCGGCCGGGTTGCGGCAGTTTTCTAAAGTGCGTAGTTCGAAACGTGATTTTGTCGATCGATGCAAATTTCATCGTTGTTGCACGTTATTACAGCTTTGTATGTTACCATATAGAAATTTGAGTTTTATGCGAACTGTCGAATGAGAAAATGTGAGAGTGTATTCATTAAAACACTTAGACCGTCTTGGAGCTACAGTTCGATAGGTCCAGCAACATTCTGATTTGAAAAATAATTCTGTTGACAATGTGCACGGCTGCTGTACATTTAGTTTAGGCTTCCAATTTTATAATTGAAGGATCGAAGTTTAGATTATTTTGCTCATAAACTTGGCTTGGGATTATCCACACAACGAGTTACTTCGTTAGGAACTGCACTTAGGGACATGATTTCCTCCGTGTACAATTTTTTAGTACTAAGTTTTTGCACACAAGGCTTTCTGTGGGGGGTGTTTCTTTGCTTGAAAATTGGATCCTGCAAGGAGATGAAAAGGGTAATATTCCTGTGAATGCTTTTGTTTTTCTGTCCATCGTTTTCGGCTTATGTTTTTTTTTGGCACAAAGTCATGAATGAATGATAGAGTTAACATGCTATTAAGTATTCAAAAGTTCTTTCCAAGAAAAAAAAAAATCACAAATTTTGAATTTGGCAATGTCACGTGGTCGCGCGTCGACCAATCAGACCATTTTCGCCGGTGAAAGCTCTTCCAACATTGTTGGGGCCACGCAAGCGCTCATTACGCATGGATTACAAAGACTTATGGGTTGTATTCTTCCCACGATGCACTGCAGGTCCCAATTTTGTTGGGAGATGTTGCATCCGTTTGCATACCACTGCCAACACGCACGCAACAACTGCCAACATTGTTGGCGCAACAATGTTGGGAATTGTTGCGTCCGTTTGCACGCAGCCTTAAAACCGACCAGATGCACGCGACCTACCATTGTTATGGTAAGCAATTATGCTGAAGGTGTTTTGTTCTTGTGACCGTCTTCGCACGGAAGGTGTAAAAGGTTAACCGAGCGGTCGCTTTGATTATCAGAAAGACCTGTCAACTTTAATTTGATGATTTAACTGATTAAATTACGGGACAGAAATTTTACTGCTTGCGGCTCCTCGTGTTGGGGCCATTTTAAATCCCAAGAGAAACTGAAGACAAAGCCTATGCAAAATTTTGGAGTGACCAACAAACAGTATTATGGTATGTTATGGTGCTTTCTGGAGTGGTCAATTGCTATTTTTCCTTCCTACGTTCCCATGAGACCCCGCGCTTCTCAACCTAACCCCCAATATTCTCTCAACCCCAAAACACATAAAAAGCGACGGGGTACGAGTCTGGTTCCAGCCCTCAAAACACTACCAAGGTGGCTCCTACCCGGCCCCAAACCATTATGAACGCTCCCCAAATTAAAAATATTGAATCCTTTAATTCCCAAATGAACTGGTGTTACACACTGATAACACATGTGCCTCCTGGTAAGGACCGACTGCTAACTAGCCCAGTGTTCGTTTCTTTCAAGCAATTGAGTATTTTAAAATATGCTGGTAATGTCTCAGGCAGCCCAGACGTACTCTATGTCAATAACAATACATTATAGATCGGCAAAGGAGGATCAGAGCTGGAGTCGACGATTCTCGACTAAGAGCTAAACAGCGAAACATTCCGTTGAAAATTAACCAGGACAAATGAATAGACAGTGAGATAATGGTACAAAAAATATGCATTTGGAACCCTTGCCCTGGTTTTTTAAAGGCTTGATAGGATTATCCACTGGATAAATCTTTATCTAGGGAAATGTTAGGGAAACCAATTGGGTTATCTACTGAATCAGCTGGATAGAGAGTAATTATCCAGTGGATATAGAATGGATAGCCTCAGGAGTTTATAGCGGAGCTCTCGCGCG